CATGGAAGCTTTGTCAAATTCTCTACAGCAGGACCAAGTGTCTCCACAAATTCTGTCTTTGAGGAATGTTGTGTGCTGGAGAACCAAAAGGGGACTTAGTAATTTCTGAACCATAATTCTCTCAAGACTACTTCCTTAATCTAAATCTACCTAAATGATAGACTAATTACAAAGACTCTGGCTCCAATAAAGTAAATGCGGAAAATTATTAAGCAAATAAAAGACCTTAAAGGACCCAAACACACAATAAGACATTTCTTTCTTTTCATCTTATAAATTAAACTTCAATTATTGCTAAAAATTAACTGATTTCCAAGGCGATAGCTTACTACACACAGGCATTAGCCTCCCCACTAGACCCTAATAAAAAATCAGTAAAGCATACTATGTAATATAAATCCATAGCACCAAAATAAACAGGAAAGGGATCATTAGCAGACATTTCAACAAATTTCTAGAAGAAATGTAGACAAAAGTACACTTCACAGAACATTTACACAGGGGCTACAGAGGATAGTGAGGCAAACTTAGATTAATTCATGGAACAGCTTTGCATGTGGCCTTCCTCAGTTTAAATGCAAACTCTCCAACAAGCTGGCCAACAACACATCCCATTCATATCTAAAAAGGTCCTAATTTGTTCCTCTATTCAGAAAATGCATGAAGGGCTACCTGAACAATAACAGCAGTTAATAAGTTAATACTCGACCAGACATTATTTGTTAAATATAGGATCAAACCAAGGATCAAACTCAGTAGCCAAAAAAAAAAGCAAACAAAATGACCAGGGAAGAAGAGATAATCCAATTAACTAAAGCGAAATTTAAAAAGAAAACCCTAAATATTATATTCAACTAAAGAAAACAATGCATTTTGAAAATAGAAACAAGCTGAATAAAAGAAATAACTATACCAAAAGATCTCAGAATTTAAAATATGATTTCTGCCTTTAAAATATCACTACTGTGATGGAGAAGAGAAAGTAATTTCAGAGAATGCCAAAATATATATATATATATATGAGAAAACAAGAAACAAAGGGGCTTGAAATTCCAACTAGAGAAAACAAAGAAAATAGAACAGAGAAAAGGTATGGAATAAAGTAAGTTTCCCAAAGCTAAACAGAAATCAAGCCTTTAAACTGAAAGGACTCACTTATAACAGCTGGATACATGACAGAATATCCATATTTAGACCTATCACCATGCAATTTCAGAAAAGCAGAATAAAAGAATTCCAAAAGCTTCCAGAGAGAAAAAACAAAAGCAATTACCAAAAGAAAATAACTGACTGGCATTAGACCGACATTAACAATACTAGATGCTAAAACACAATGGAGCAATATGGTAATTTCCAAATTCTAAGGAAAAATGTTAAACCAGTATTCTATACCTAGCCCAACTTTCAATTCGGCATGCGACAAAACAAACTTATTTTCAAACACATAGGAGTCGGAAAGTTTATCTCCTGCCATCTTTTCTGAATAAATTACTTAAAAATGTTCTCCAACAAAATGAGGAAAGAAACCAAGGAAAGGAAAATATATGACCCAGGAGGAAACTGGATCTAAATCCAGTAAATTCCTAGGATGTCAGCTACACGTCTTAAAGTGCAGAGAGTTCCACAGAAGGCAGACTATGTAACAGGTATTATGATTACATATCTTTAAAGAGTTTGAAGACATGCAGAAGACAAATATTTCTTTAGTTAACAACAACAAAAAAATTAAAGGCTATTTAGGGACAAAATTGTATAAGGAAAGTTAGAGTTGAAATATGAAACAAAGGAAAATGGGGCATGTTTTGAGCAACTGATGGCATATTAGGAAAAAAAAAATACAGCAGCCCCCATCCATGGATTCACTTTCCAAGATTTCAGTTACCCACAGTCAACCGCAGTCCAAAACTATCTAATGGAAAATTCCAGAAATACACAATAAGTTTTAAATTGCAAGCCATTCTGAGTAAATATGAAATTTCGTGCTGTCTTCCATTTCACCTGTGGTGTAACTCATCTCTTTGTCCAGCAAATCCAAGCTGTATTCACTAACCACCTATTATTAGTCACTTAGTAGCCCTCTTGGTTGTCAGACTGACTTTTGAAGTATCACAGTGTGTATGTTCATGTAACCCTTATATACTTAATAATAGCCCCCAAATGCAGCAGTAGTGATGCTGGCAATTCAAATATGCCAAAGAGAATCTATAAAGTGCTTCCCTTAAGCAGAAAGGTGAAAGGTCTCGACTTAATAAGTAGAAAAAAAAAAAATCTTGAGGTTGCTAAATCTACACTAAGAATGACTCTTCTATATGTGAAATTGTAAAGGAAAAAGAAATCTGAGCTAGTTTTGATGCCCAACCCGAAACTGCAAAAATTTCAGCTACAGTGCATAATAAATTAAGATGGAAAAGCCATTCAATTTGTTTGTGAAAGACAGAAAACATACTGATTGATGGCAACATGTTGCACCAGAATGCAAAGAACCTATGTGAAGACTTCAGCAAGGGATACATTGAAATGTATGACCACAATCACATAACTTTTATTACAGTATATTGTTAGAACTGTTCAATTTTATTATCAGTTGTTTTAATCTCTTACTATTCCTAATTTATAAATTAAACTATCATAGGTACGTATGTACTGGGAAGAACATAACGTATATAGGGTTTGGCACTCTCCACTGGTGGGGGGGTGAGGGGGGAGTATTCTTGGAACATATCCCCCTCATATAAGAGGAGACTATTGTACACCTAATCCTGACAACACGAATATATGTACAGACTTAAGAAAAATATAATCCCAGGACACTATTTGGCATCTGAGATTATTTTCGTCAGTCTCTCAGACTTAACCACACTATCCCTTCACCTGCTTTATTTTTATTGCCGAGTATCTGTTATTACCCAATATTAAGTCACATACATTATTTCATTGATTCTAATACACACATTCTTCACACTTTAATCCTAATGAAAACCAGCATACACTTTACAATCCATACACAGCATTTTACAACTACATCAGCCAGGTGGCAGTCTTGTTACTGGGTGAAAAACTGTCAATGGATACCTTCCAGAAAGATTATAAAAGTACCAGCATCAAAATGCCTCAGATTAGATGAAATGCAATATTTATTTGCTTGCTGGGTACCTCCTCTACTGTGTTCTCAGAAACATAAGGTCAGTAACTTTTTTCTTTTTAAACTCTGTATCCTCCTTACACAGAACAGTAACTGGCACTTAATCACTGTCACATTTTAACATCTCTGAAACTAGAATGGGTCTAACAAGATGGGTTCTACATAACTGGCCCTGATGTTTTTTTTTCTTCTTAGTGGTACACATAATAATGGTGGGTCATACAAGCAATGGTATCTAAGATTTCAATAAATTCAGTAACAAAACATTTGGAGGAAGATGGAGACAGTGGTGTCAGTGAATGGACCCATTGCAAAATATGACTCTAAAGATTGGTAACTTCAAGAAACAAATACAAGCTTATTATTTTTGAGATATGGAACTAAATACTTAAAAACATGATTGTCCCCTGGAAAGAGGTAGATTATTTTCATTTTTCACTATAACCAGTTCATGAGATATATATACACACACATATATACACGTATATATGTGTGTGTATATATACACACATATATATATTTTACCAAGTGCACATACGTTTTTACAAGTATTTAATAAAGGAGTAAGTACAGATTCAAACATACAAAATCAGAGACTGAGACAGGGACATTCGCACGGATAAAGACAGAAAGACATCCAGGGGCAAACGGAATCAAAGTCAAAATCGATTTTTATTTGGCAAAATTTTAATTAGCAACGGGGATAGAGACCGTGAATTCTGGACTCAAATTTAGCAAACCTCTGAGCATGAAATCAACATTAAGTTGCCCAACGATGATGATTATGCCACTTTGCTCATCAGAAAATCAAAGCAGGATCAGCAAAGGTTTGCAAGTTTACCTCTGTACAATAGAATTAAAACTCAGAGGCCCCTAGATGAAATAATTACAAAGCCACAACACTCCACATTTACACACCCTTTCATTTGTCCTGGCCTGTCAGCACAATGACAGACATAGGGACTGAGCAAGGTCTTTCCATGACCCGAAATACCATTATTATGGGGGTGCAAAAGCTGAGGGAGGTACTGCTGCCTTGGGGGTAGGCGGTTTACGGATCGGAGAACGGTGGCCATGTCACGCAAAACTCCAGCTGACGAGTCTCGTGCACCCAAGGGCATCCCGCCTGTCTCCGCAGAAAGCATAACCTTCCCCAGTGAAAACTAACGAGCCTGAAAACCCAACTTGCCCTGGGCCGGCAGTGGCGCGAGTTCAGACCCCGCCCCTCCCTCCTCTCTCAAGGCAGGCGCAGAACGATCACAAAATGTCACAGGGCCAAGACTAAGCGCGCCAAAGCGAGACCCACCCCTAGGAGACCGGGACGCTTAAGGAAGGTCCCTCCCCTTCCTCCCTCCGCCCCGCGCGGTGCTCATTCATTCTTGAGGCGGACAGCAATTCTTCCCCGGCCGGCCACCCCGGCACTGCAAACCCACTAGATGCTTTGTCTCGCGCCCGGCCGGAAACCGGGTTGCGCATTCGAGTGCGCGCCCGGGCGCCACCTCCCGGCACCTGGGGCCCCGGTACCCCGGCGTAAGATAAGCCTTCTTTATAGAGGGATCCGAAGCTCGAAGCCGGGCGCTCCTGCAGCTCCAGGCGCGCACATCGCCGGGTCCTGCTGAGTAGCCACATTCAGGAAATATGCCTCCCAGTCCCACCACCGCTACAACTCAAGCCCCCTTTGCAACCCCTGCACCCGCTAAGAAATACTAGATTCTTTCTCCATCCAGGAGACCGAGACCCAGCCTCTTCCGAAGGCCCTGGGCACGCGGACCCTAGCTCTCCAGAGTTCTCGAGGCTGCCGCGAGCTGCGTCCCCAGCCCCTCGCGCGCGCTAACACGGTGGCCAAGCGAGCACTCACTTGAGGAGCAGCTGGTCGTGCTCGGCCTTGAACTTGCCCAGCTCTATCTGCAGCTTGGCGCGCTCGCGGGCCGTGTCGTCAAGCGCGCGTCGCGCGTCCGCCAGCTCCGTCTCGTAGAGCGCCTTGAGGCCGGTGAGCTCGCGGCCGCGCACCTCCTCACGCTCCGTCACCTGCAGCTGCAGCGCGCTGTTCTCCGTCTCCAGGCTGCGCACCTTGTCGATGTACACTGCCAGCCGATCGTTGAGTTCACGCAGCTCCTCCTTCTCCTGCAGCCGCGACAGCCGCGTGGGGCTCAGCGGCGTGGAGGGGCCGCCGGCGCGGCTGCCGGTCCGCGGCGGCACGGGGGTCGCGGTCGCCATGGCAGGCAGCGAGGCGATCGGCGGGGAGAGCGGTGCGGGGAGGCCGCGGGCGGCACAGGGACACGGAGCAGGTTGAGGGGAGCGAAGCCGGGACTGAAGGCACAAACTGGCGTTCTGCGATCGCGCAGAAGCCGGCGTGGGTAGCGAGAAGCACCTGGGATGGCGGGAGCGGGGTTACAGCACAAAGGGCAAAGGGGGAGGACTACGAATCAATCGATCAAAAAATGCCCTTTGTAAGAAAACGCGCGCGCGCGCACACACACACACACAAACGCACACACACACACGATAGGGGGCGAGGGTGACCGGGAGGGCCGAGCCGGGTCCGTGCGCCGCCGACGCCGAGTATCCCGCCCGCAGCACTTTGTTTCCTTTCTGGGGGGGAGGAGGGGCG